CATATTTTATTGTTTTGTTCTAATTAAAATTTAAATTGATAAATTAAATAGTCGCCTTTAATAAAAAGATTAAAAAGTTTTTTTATTTTGGAAGATGATTTTAATCCTTAAATACCTTCATTAAGTAAATAGTTTATAAGTTTTTAAATTTAAAAATTCTATTCCTTATATAATAAAATTTTTATATTTCTAATATCATTTGATGTGTCTAAATTCGTGATAATTTAAACATTTTAAATGACCAAATTTACAATGTTTTTTATTAATTAATTTTAATAATCATATCCATTATTAAATTCTGAATTTAATTTTAGAATATTTAAAATAAATAATGTTTTTATATAATCTAGAAATTTTTCATATGTTGAATCTTCTTCTTTTTAAAAAATACAATAATTCCATAAAATCTCAAAATATTTAATTTAGTTGCTTAAAATATACTCAAATATTATTCGGCAGACAATTTACTATTATTTTTTTTCATTATCATCTTGATTTTTATTCTATTATTATAAAAATTTTATTAGATAATTATTTAAAGATATGAGAATATTGACCAAAACTGAAAAGTTTGTAATATGATATTTTTCTTTGTTATTAGACTAAGATTTTTTGAAAATTTTATAATTAATTTACCAGTATATATTTGAATATTACAAAAATCCTTAAATAGAAAAATCATCAAAACTTTTAGTTAAATTTATCAATAAATTTTGAATAGAATTTATCAAAAATAAACAGAAAATAATTTTATTCTTTAAATAATTTATTTAATTATGAAAAAAAACTTAAAATTAAGTTTAAAAAATTGATCCTTTATTTAACTATAAAATTTCTTATAAAACTACAAATTATCTTTTTACAATAAATCTCCTATTGAATTAACATTCAAATATTCTAATTATAAGTTACCAATAAAATTACATTCTTATAAAATATCATAAGGCTCTAATATTAATAAGTATAAATCAACTATCTATTCTTTGCTTATGCATAAAAAAAAAATTATTGCTGACTAGTTTTATATTAGTAATTACTGTTTTATGAATAATTATTATTAAAAACCAATATTATTATAAGATTTAAAACTCTTTATAATCATTAGAATTATTAATTTAATTTGAAATATAATATGAAAACTTTTCTTATTAATTGCTTTTCCATTCATTTATATTATTTTTTTTTAAACATTTTTTTATTATTTCTTTATTTTTTCCATATAATTCAATAAGAAAATCATAAATTATCTTAAAATAATTTTTATTATTTAATTTATTGCCATTTTAATCATAAATTGAATCAATATAACGATAATAATTTTCTCCAAAAGTATACGATTTTAAAATATCTTATATTGAAAAAGTATTTAATGGCTATATTAGGTCAATATCACATTTTAATATCTTATATATAAGGTTTTCAGTAATACATTAAGCTAATTTTAAAAAATAAATAATTAAAAAAATAAAATTTATTTTAAGTTACGTTATTAACCAATTGACTAATATTAAAATAGCTTTAGAATAAGCAAATTAATTAATATCGTATTACTTTATTATTTCTAAGAATATAAATTCAAATTTTTTTTTTTTTATTAATAAACTCTTGCTCATATGAATAAATTAGTATTTCTTAAATGTATTTACTTATTTTATATGAGTAATTGAACATTTTATTTTAAATATTACAGCTAAAAATAATTTTGAACATTAATTATTTTTATAGCTCTTTGTTTTAAGGTACAAATTTTTTTATTTATAAAATGCTTTAGTCAATAAGTAAATGTGGTTCTGTAAAGTATGCATATTCTTATGTAAATCTTTAAAATATTTGTTCGAATTTTTATATTTATTCTTAATCTAAAATTATATTTTCAGAAATTTAATAATTATCGAAAAGAAAGAAGTAATTTTATAAAGAAATGGCCATATTTACATTTTATTTATATTAATTTAATTTTAAATAAAATTATTATAATTTACTTTTTATTATATAGAACTCATATATATAGTTAAGTAACTCCTTAAAGTTATTATTAAATTTTGTTTAAAATATAAATTTAATTAAATTTCTAACCTCTGGTTAATAAAAGATAAATTCTAAATTAATTCCATCTAAAAAATAGTAATTATTTTAAATTTCAAATAAATCAATAATAACTTAAATAATTTGTTTTTTGTGTTTCTCTAAACCATAGAATCTGTAAGTTTTTAAGAGTATTATGTTTTCATATTTTTTTTCTAATAAAATATTATCAAAAGTATTTTTAATAATAAATGTATTCAAATAGTCTTTTTATTATTGTTAATTTAAATTAATATTAGGAGATTATAAAGCAGTATAAATAAAACTTAAAAGCTATTAAAACTATTAAAACTATTAATTATTTGAAAAAAGGTTTTAATTATCATTCAAAAAGTCCATAAAAAATTATAAATCAGTGACTTAAAAATAGGTTTCCTAATGATATTTTAATTATAAAGATATTCTTAAAATTTCGGGAAAAAACTATTATTATAGAAAATCAAATATTTCATTTATTTTATCATTTTTTATTATAAAAGCAGACAGTAAAAAACTATATTCATCAATTTTACTAATATTTCTAGCAAATATTTCTGAAAAATATTATCCAATAAAATTATAAAGTAATGTTAAAGAAAGATATAATTTTTCTTCACTATTATTAATTTTATTTATTTTATTTAAAATAATTTATTATATTTATTCTTCTGTTAAAATAATATTTTATTAGTCTTTATACTCTACTTAAATAATTGTAAGCAAAAAAACCTTCTTCTTATGTATTTTAATTTTGTTTTTTTCGAATAATTCTTCAAAAGTAATTTAATCTTAATATTTATCATTTTAAATAGAAAGTTTAGTTTTATCTAAATCAAAATATTCAGGCAATAAATTAGCAAAACTCAAATTAAAATATTTATTTTAATGTTTTTACGAAAAAAATATCTTATATAATTATTATTATAGCATTCGGAAGTTTTAATTCTATTTATGATTTTTTATTTAATAACCATTTCTTGTTTTTGAAAGTGAATATATATATTTAATAATATTAAAATTAAGCTTCAAATTATCAGAAAATAAAAATACATCAATAATATTTTAGTCTTCATATAATAATTCAGGCAATAAAAACTTATTTAACAAAAGAAAAAAAAAAATTAAATATAATATAATATAATATATTTTTATTACACTATTATTTGTTTAAATGTTATGTAATTATGATTTTGTAAATTATAATTGTATTTCTGTTAATACATTAATTGATTCGCATAGTCTTTCTTCTTTTTATTTTCTATTCTAATAATCTTTTTTATTTATACATTCTTAAATATATTTATTCATATATTTTTTTGCTATTTTTGACCCAATAATCTAAAGAGTACTCAATTCTAATAAATCCTCTGCTTTTCTTAAAAAAACGGACAAGTTATTAATAAAAATTTTTAACTTTTCTTTTAATTCTTCTATAGTTACTTCATTATCAAATTTAGATAAATACATTTTATCAAATACTAAATCCTATAATTTATATAATATATTACTTTAATAAGGAGATTTTTATATATATTTATTTTTTTTTAAAAAAAAAAAAACTCAATTAAAAATAAAATAATTATTAATCGATTTTTAATTGTCAAATAGCTTTTTTCAAGAAAAAATATTGATTTTAAAATTAGATATTAATTTTTTGTGAAATTATTTTAAAAAAAAACTAAATCAAAAAAAAGGAATAATACATTTTTCTCCCATTTTTTTGTAAATTAAATTAAAAAAAAGTATAAAATAAAAATAAAATAATAAAAGAAGTAATAAATATTAATATAAATGTTAAATAGATTCTTACATGCTGAAAAAAAAATATGTTATTAAAGTAAAAAATCTGAGATTTATGATTTATATCAAACTGCATTTTTATTTTATATTTAGTATAATTTTATTTTTATTTTTATTTTGTTATTATATTAATTTTTATTAATTATATAAATTATATAATTTTTTTTAATTTAGATTTTTACTTTAATTTTGTTGAAATCAATTTATGTTAATTTTATTAAATTTAATTTTTATTATATTTCATAATTTTATTTTATATATAATTTTTTTTAAATATAATAATATAAATTAAATTAATTTTATATCATTAAAATTTTTAATTTTATATTAACTAATTTAATTATATATAATTTAATTAAAATTTAGATATTAAAAATAAATATAAATTTCTTAAATATATATATATATATATATATATATATATATAATATTTATATATTAATTTATATATTTTAATAGATTTATATATAAGTAAAGTATTTTAATATAAAATACATATTAAAAAATTTATATAAAAAAACTATTTATATATATATATACATATTAATAATATAATTTATTACAATATTAAATTATTTTGTTTTTATAAATATATTTTATATTTATTTTTATTAATTAAAAATAATGTTATCAATATTAAATAAAATTTAATTATAATTTTTAAAAATGTGTAATAATCATTAATTAATCTATTTTAAATAAAAACTTTAGTAGAAAATTAAAAAATAATATTTATATTAATAAAAATAAAATAATTAAAATGGATTAAAAAACAAATATTAGCTAAAACATTGAAAACTTTGCTCTCTAATTATATTAAAAGCTAAGTACAAATAAAAATATGGTATTTTCACCTATTTCTATTTACATAGTATTATCGCTTACAGCTTTAGGAGCAAATAATAAATTTTTAGATGAATTTAAGCATCTTTTAAATTTTAATGAATAGAAAGATATTTGGTCTAAATTATCTTAAATATTTAATACATAAAGTAACAACAAAAAATATAATGATATATTTATAAAAAATATATATATATATATTTATAATTATAAAATATAGGTGAAGGCATTAAATCTATATTATGTAATTGAATTTACCATGGCCTTGAATTAACCTAATCATATAAACAATTATGTAAGAAAAGCATTTCCCTGAATTGTTATATCAAGTAAATTTTGAAAACTATTTTGAATAAATAAGATAATAAATAAACAAATGGGTAGAATTATAAATATGTAATAATATTTAAAATCTTATATCTGAAGAATCTATCGATAGTCTTACTTAAATGGTTCTTGTAAATGCCATATATTTCAAAGGTGAATGGGTTTATAAATTTGAAAATAAAAATATAGTTAAAGAAGTATTCTTTTTAGAAAATAATGGTGACTAAGTATAAGTTGACATGATGAAGAATAGTTAGAAAATTTATTATGGAGAAAATATTCATTGTTAATACATATAGTTACCTTATAAAGGAAAGTAATATGCTATGTATTTGTTTAAACCTAAAAATATGGTATTTATATTATTTTTATTATTTTTTTTAAAAAAATATAGACATTATAACAGATTGAATAAAACAATCTTAATTAAAATACTTTAAATGAAGTCTAAACTAATTTATAATATGTTTAAGTTAATATTAAATTACCTAAATTCAAAATTAACCCAAGTAAAAGTACTAGTCTTATTAAACCTTAAAAAATTTATGTTTAGTTAGTTGTTTCTCTTAAGGAATGGCTGATTTTTCTAATATGAATCATTCTAATAATATTTATATTTAATAAGATTTCATAAAGCTATGATTGAAGTAAATGAAGAAGGGGCTAAAGCTACAGCTGCTACTAGTGTAATGTTAACTAAGAGGTGTACAAAATAATAAACAAATAAAACAAATCCTTAGATATTCTATTATAAAAAACTTTTCATTTATTTTATTAATAAATTAGTAAATAAGAATATACTTTTAATGGTAAAATTTGTGAATCCAAAAATAAATTAATATATATTATTTTATTTATATATTGAATTTTTTTTTAAAAATAAGTAGTATATTTTTATTTAAATAAATAATATTAAAAAAAATTATTATTTAAATAATTTCTTAAAAAAAAAAAATTAAATAAAATTAATAATAATGATAATGATAATGATACTAAAAATAATGAATAAACAAAAAATATAATATATAAACAAATGCAATATTTTCAATATATAGACAATGCAATATTTTCAATATATAGGATGTTGTAATATATATTTTTTAAAAAAAAAATACNTATTTTATAAATTATATTTTAAAATTTTATATTTTAT